TTTGTCAGTTCGATCTTTTCTCTTCTTTCCTCTAATCTGTTTGATCGAGTCATGTTAACAGTAAATGCACCTTGAGGTAACTTTTGATCTAAACTTAATACTGATGTGTATGAAAGCCAACCTTCAAAGTGAGTTTGTCATTTCACATATTTACTAGTACAGTACTTAATGTGAAAGAAATAGAATCGATCATTGCAATATGAGAAAGATCTGTTTAGTTCTTCTTTTAATCCATTTTGTTTTTATGATCAGTCTCAAAATATAACATACACAACGAGGGATCAAGGGGAACCTACATTTAAAATTTGAGAAAGATCCCTCCCGTACTTCCCGAGAAATAGCGATAACAAACTTTCACTATCAAAATCCAAGATGGCTGCCTGTCAGCCATTTTGTTTATCAGATTAGTCTCAAAAGTTGCACTGCACAGCTAAGGACCAAGGGGAACATTCATATAAAATTTGAGAAAGATCCCTCTGGTACTTTTTAAGAAATAGCGATAACAAACTTTCACTATCAAAATCCAAGATGGCTGCCTGTCGGCCATGTTTTTTATCTGATCAGTCTCAAAAGTTGCCCTGCACAGCTAAGGACCAAGGGGAACCTGCATATAAAATTTGAGAAAGATCCCTCCGGTACTTCTTGAGAAATACCGATAACAAGAATTGTTTAAGGACGGCGGACGAACAACGGACGCAGGGTGATTTGAATAGCCCACCATCAGATGATAGTGGGCTAAAAAGTGGTTTGTTAAAACAGGCGATCATCCACAGGTTCAAGCTTCTAAAGGTGTATAAACGGCTTTATTATACCTTCTGTTAATATCTCGTAATCTGATTGGTTGAGAAAGATGTGAACATTTTCAATGTTACTTGCTCGTTTTACAAAGATAAAGAAGACAGGGTGTTATTCCAAAAAATATCACATGCGCCAAACGTATGCGTGCACGGTTTGTCCCAGTGCCAGGGTGTTATTCCAAAAATTGTTACGTGCGCCGAATGTATGCGCCCCTGGTTCATCCCCATGAAAACTTTTCTGAAACGTTTGTCGACCTTTAAAAATGGTGAAGTGGTGAAACACCTAAACATGACACTCGGTATAAAAAAATAAAAATCGCCTCGGTCAACAATGCTTTCTAAGGGGTGAAAATATGCAATATCGCCCTCTCATGAATGTGATATTTATATAATATCAGAAGTCCTTTTTGAGTACATACTTAGGTATCCGCTGTACAGCTTCATCAACCTGGCCCCTGCCGAGCTGCCCTAAGCTGTTGTCTCCCCAGCTGAATACCTCACCAGCAGCTGTCAGTGCTAAACTATGATGACTGCCAGCAGCAACCTGGGTCACTATCATTTTGCTAAGTTGAACAATTTTTTCTGCAAAAGATGATAATTACACAGTCAACTCATTTTTAAAACACAAGTTACATTCAATCCTCAACTTGCACTTGAGATTTAATTAACTACCATTGCTGATTTCAAAATCATTTAAATTATTCAATCAAAAATTTATAAAATTTCAAAAAAGAAAATAGACCTTGTTGTGAGGCAATTAAAATATCTAATAGAAAATAAATATGCTTCAGAAGAGCAAATATTTTCTGCTTCACAAGTGACTGCTGTAGTGTTCTCAGATCTTTAAAAGATCCAGAATAGCCATAGAACACTGCTCCTGTCACAAGGGTAATCATGTGAAGACAGAAATAGAAATAAGTTGAACAATCCTTTGGAACAATACCAACTGGAATTCGATAGACCTTGACTCTGCCCCTATTTCTTAAATGTTACTACTCATCATACAGACCTCAGGTTACAGTATGTGGTCAGTGCCAAAATCACAATATCAAGTGAGAACTCGACAATCAAAATCTAATCGGTTCTAAAAACTGAATGCTACAACACTTTTGTGTAAATATAAACTGAACCTGTTGATTGATTCATAAGATGTCTTTAACACAATTTTTTTATTTGAAAAATAGTCAAATGTGACCTTTGACCTTGACCCTTTACTCTTGACCGATGAACACCAAAATCTAATCAGATGCAGAACTGGATACTACCATTCTATTTAAATATTTTTTTAATTTGTTGAGGGTTCAAGAGATATATTGGACACAAGTGTTTAACACTTTGGATGGTATGGGGGAATATAAATTTGATGATGAGTATGACAGCACATCAATATTCAGATCAAGTTTTCTTCCATCTTTAGCTAAAGCAGATTCCATTTTGATAAAATCGAATTGGGATAGGAGGAATCATTTTACCCCAAAATTATCTCAATTAAAACTTTTTGATACATTCTTGAAGCAAAATGCATCAAAATCTTGAAATGTTCAAAGAAAAACATATAAATCATAACTCAGATCAACATATATTTCTTGGATGTGATGAAATGGGAAACATGACTTAACTTCCACTTATCAGGAAAGGCAAGGTTCAATTTAGTTTCTTGTTAACTGAATTCTTTCCCCAATTCCAATGGGATATATACATCGGTAACCATTACAATATTGGATTAAGTATTGCAATATTGTAAAAGGCAGTGACAGCTATATGTACCTCGTGCAGTTTGTTTTTACACATACATGTACACTTTACAAGTATTTACACATACATGTACACTTTACAAGTATTTACACATACATGTACACTTTACAAGTATTTACACATACATGCACACTTTACAAGTATTTACACTTCAGAATAACACATGTTTTCATTGTTGCATCATCTTGGTTAGTTAAATCAAATATAATACAACTGAAAATATTCTGAGCTTGTAACATTTTCTAACCTGGTTTGGACCTGCTGTTTTCTCGCCCAAGTTGTCCATAGTCATTATTCCCACAAGATAAGATGTCGCCATCAGATGTAACAAAGAGCGAGTGCATTTCTCCGCAGCTAATCTTTGTCATACAGAAATGTTCACTGCTCAGTAAGGGGATGTATTTCGGAGTAGATATTACAAACTCATCAGAGGCTCCAACAGCAAGTTGTCCATGCTGGGAACTACCCCAACCAAGGACTTTTTGCTGCATCATAGCAACTTTCAGTCAATCCTACTTCAACATCAGTGTCAACTTCAGTCCTGTCAAATAGAAAAACATCATTTATATAATAGCTTCCCACATTCACAGCTCATCATTACTAATCATTATATTATGTCTGTATGTTGCAGGTAGCAGTCATCCTTTAGATCAAAAGAATTCCATTGAAGGAAGATGTTGATTATCATTTTTTACTGCTACCACCATGTATGCATCCCTGACACAGCCTGTCCTTGTTACACTAAAAATGTCAGGAAGGCCAAATCCAAAATGTGTTTGTTTGAACATATTTACTGGTTCATCATTGTCTTCACTAGTACTCTACATTTAAGATAACCTGTCTCCCATGTCACTGCTAACATACTCACTATCCTTAAATATGAAATCCAACAATTAATATGACATCTGATATAGATGTAGACTACAAGAAAACCTTTTTTAAGCATTGCCATAAGGTACTCCAAAGAAACATTTGAGGATGTTGCATTGGAAGTGATATTCTTTGGTGGATAACAGACTTTTCTGTATCTGTGTGATTCTGAGCTTAGTTTGAACGTTAGTGCTCAGGGTGCGTCGGCTGCAGGCTCCACTTAATGCATTCGTTGCCTATCAGGTAAAGGCAACATCACTGTATGTGATTCAAAATTGTTAACGGTGTCCGAATTTACAGTTGTTTTGTCTAGGGTGTTACACTCAATGATTGTCCTTGTAAAAAAAGGTTTAAAATGTCGCTGTTGTGTCGGTAACTAATGAATAATTTTGTATACTTTGTCCTTACTTTGCTGGTGAGTAGTTTCAAGTATTGTTCAGGGAGGGCTACTAGGTCATTAATGACTTTATATAGTAATGTCAGCCTGTGTTTTCGTAGTCTATCTGCAAGATTTTTCAGGTCCAGAGATTTCATCATTTGGGTTACACTAGACTGTTTGCTGTAATCAGTACATATTAATCTTACTGCACGCCATTGTATATTTTCTAACCAGTCAATATCTTTTTGCATGGAAGGGTCCCAAATAGTGTCACTGTATTCCAGAACTGAGCAAACAAGAGTGATGCACAGCATCTGGAATATATATAACATTATTTGTTTACATATCACAGGTATCGCAACGCTTTATAAGTAAATCATTTTTTAGTAGAATAAGGGGGTGCAATATCTAGTGGGGTGTGATACGTAAACAAATAATGTTATATATATTCCAGAACCCGAGCACCTGTGGAGTGATGTCGACTTTTTATGTGATATGGAATAGAAGGTATTGATGTCTTTTCACAACAAATCGTACAATGGGAGAAGAAAAAAAAATCGTCTGTTTCTATGCAATATTGATATGTATACAAAACAAAACTTTCCTTTCCCCGATCCCGGACTCACAATCGAGAAATGAGTTACTGTGTTCAAACGAAGAAAATTTTAGAACGTTCCTGAACAGATCAACGATACAGTAGGACTCAAGCTAATGAGGTCGAAACTGAAAGTTCCTAGACAAATGAATGACACTTTTATCAGCTTAGAGTATCAGATAACGACAACTTCACACATAAACCATGTTAAGTTACCACTGAATTATTTCTGTCTGTCTATTACGGCAGTTCTATCATTTCGACATTCTTACGATATTCTGATGTAAAGTCATCTCGTCTCCGATTATTTTGACGATCTCTGTTATGATAACGCTTAAAATGGTGTGCAAAACTTTCCGTATCGATTAAAGAGTTACGCGACCACGATTTGCAAGACTCTTGTGTGTGGACTCCCGCCCGATTTCGCATTAGTTATTTTGACAATGACCAATGTATCTTCTTCTTCCATTACAAGGATCAGAACTCCAAGGTAGGAGTGCAATTGACCCTAGGAGGGGGCATTTCAAAGTGTGTTTTTTTTGTTGTAATTTTTAGGTATTATATTAAAACTATGTATGATACATAACGAGGATGCAAAATTCAGTAGTAAAGAGACTGGTGGTAACCTTCAAGTGAAGATTTGAAAGAAGGTTATTCCTCACTAAGGCCCAGTGACGTTGATAATGAGTTCCAGGTGATAATAGTTCTTGATGGGGGGGGGGGGGGGAGATAATTTGTAGGCGTCTTTTGTATGGGTGGCGGTTCGGGCCAAAAACGATAAACAGAACGCGTTAAAAACTTAACGCGTTAGAAGTGACTTAAGGCGAAAGAAGTTACTTGTTACGCGTAAGAAGTGCATTTAACGCGTTAAAGTTCACATATAACGCGGCATTAGAATGGTAAAGTGCACTGACTAATCAGAGAAATCGTTTAATAATTGATGATTTTGGTAGATCTATTTAAAATAAATAGAAAAAGTTTTGACTATTTATATTGAAAAAACCACGAAGATAATATATTTTAAAAGCATCAACTATGAAACGATTTCTCTGATTGGCCAGTGCATTTACTATTCTAACGCATTTCCTAGAAGTGACTTTTAACGCGTTAAAAATATTTTTAGGCGTTACTTTTACATTTGAAAAAGCACTAACACGCGTAAAAGGTCATTTCTAACGCGTTACTGTACAAGTCTGTGCTATTATATAGTATATACTACTTTAGCTAGGGTTTTGTTACTATATCATTATACCATTCCTCTTCTTTACTGGTTGCTTAAAGCCTGTTTACAAGTTCTTTCCATTGGACTCTTGTCGGAATTTCCTCAAGTAGGTTATAGGCACTTGGGGGACTATATAAGTAGAAGGTGCTCCTCACAGACGAGAAGAAACTGGTTGAATTGATGTTTTGGTTGGTTGGTTGGTCGATGGGTTTATAGACTCCTTTTCACGGGCGGAGCCCGTGTTCTGTCGTCTTGATGGGATAAGTCTCCTGCTTACAGGCCCTCGGTGATTCAAAATGACCTAGCCCATTCCAGATCACGCTTTAAGTCCGGTCAGCTCCTTAGATGCGGATAGGCTGTCACAGTTACATACAGCACGTATACGGGAGCGTGGAACACGTCCTTTAAACAGCTTCACTGTCCTCCTATGAATTGATGTTTTATATGGCCAGCTGTCTTATAGCTACCCACCGCTCAATGCGATGATTCTGTGTATTACTGATTCGAGGGGTGGTATTCCCAGAAGAGAAAGAGTTATGGCGCTCGATGTTCTACCTGGAATATGTTGAATCTGTTTCAAGGATGTCGATGTTCTTTTTTGTAAGTTGGTGGATCTCAAGGCCATATTCCACAGTGTCGCCTTAAGTTCCTCTGTGACTCCACCTTTCCCATGAAATCCTGCACCCATAAGGGAGTGGGCTGTCTTCCTTCATACATATACTTTCTGTTGTATGCCTGGTTTATTCTCGCTGTTTCTATATATTCCTAGATGATCATTTTCGTCTGCTACATGTATTTCAAAAGATTCATTGTAGATCTTTAGCTCAGTGTTTTCCGACACGTTGAATAGTATTATGAACAGTTCTTGACGTTTGGGTGGGAGAACGTCACATATAAACACTTATTGGTTGTGTATTACAAGAACTTCATAATCCATATTTACCAACGTGAAGAAATGTTTAGAAATAACGTTGGATAGTTGAGCGCGTTGTGTAGATTTCAACCTGGCCAAGCAAGCCTTGTAAGGCTGTGTCGTCGGCACATGTGGTATGGGGTATTGATATATGTCCTATTGTGACACCGTTAATGTTCTCCAGACTGAGTAGAAGTGGGTTGTTGTACCGTTTATAGTGTGATGTCGAGAGTACTCCGCCTTGCCTACATCTTGTAGGGTTGGGAAGCTATCTGAAAAGTCTCCACGTCATTTCACTCTGGGTGTTGCCTCATCATACACGTCATTGATACTGTTCTATTCAGCTTCCGGGATACCATCGCTATATAACTGACGTAGTAAGAAGTCGTGGTCCACCACATCGAAGCCATTCTAGGGGGGTACGGGGGCATGGCCCCCGGATTTTTTTTAGATCTAGAAGCTCTGTCGTGCCATCTGGTGGCTTTTTAGATACATATTTGAGTGTTTTGATTTATTTTACAGACAACATTTTTTGGTTGATTCATCACTTTCTTATTGGAAAGCATCGCAAAAATTCAAATGTATTTCAAATGCGAAAGACAGCTTTCCTTTTTTTCTCTCCGACAAAAATGTGTCGATTGTTGGAATTACCCGAAAATATCCGTTGCGTCATAGCTCTTTCCTGATGAATCTAAACTAACTAGATATTTAAAATGTCGGAGCCAATATGAACAGATTAATTTCAGATTTTTTGCCCTTGTGTCCCCCAAACCCTTTTTATATCATCAACATTTCTCAGAACATAAGATGACGGTAGCTCCTGTATCGATGTTTAGATATATGTATACATTTATATCCAGTAGCTCTACTGAAGATAGGCCTAGGACCCNAAAAACTAGCTTGGGATGCTTAGTGAGTAGTATTCAAAATGTATGAATAAATAAGTAGAAAAAGGCTTGGGTGCTTCTTTAACACTGNGATTAGCAAAAGCTACATGTACGTGGCTTTTTTCTGACTTTTGAGGGTTTGCCTTTTTCATATTACATTCGCAGGCGAAGTGAATGTAAAACTCAGATGGATCCTATACGCGCATATATCCACCCTAAAACCTATAACAATAATGCTAGTAACAAATCAATCTACAATTGTTATTCGGAAGACCTTTAATTGGTGAAAAAATTACACAAAAATACATCCATTCTGGATAAACAACCCGCCTCCGTTGACTTAGTTCTATTTCATTACAATCGCTTGTTAAAATGTTGACGTGTATGAACTTAAACACNCTACTAAACAAACATACCCACAGGGCATAAAACATAAAGTTGGATAAATGGGAATAGCTTTTTTCAGAAGTTGGATAAATGGGAAGACACCCAACAGTCTTGGTCGAGAAGTACAGTTCAGTTCTTTATTACCTTGAACCTTACGGCTCATCAGTTCAAAATAAACATATATACAAGGATAAACAATACAATCACTCACACCCATATACACCCCCACAAATACACCCACACACACAAATACACACCCACATACCCATTGGTATAGTGTAGAGAGACATCCCTCTTTATATAGGTACATAGTCTTTTCTTTTCTTATTACTCAGTTTAATATATTTGACTAAATTTGTTAACCGGTTTTTTTGTTCCCTGTTTCCATAAGTTGGATAAATGTATACATGCTAGGTCTTTCATAGTAATATTTCTTAATGAAACGCTTTCTTAAATCTAAAAAACATTCACATTTTGATATAAAATGAAATTCATCTTCGATATCCCCACTGTTGCAGTATGCACATGTTCTTTCAATACTATCTACATTGTTATACCTACCAATTTCAATATTTAATTTGTGAGATGACAGTCTAATTTTTGTAATTTCTTTCAGATTTGTATTTCCTATGGGTTTTGTTAAATATGGTTGTAAACAGAAATTTTCGCCAATAAACTTGTACAGTGAACACTTAGAAGATGAATCTATTTTTTCTTTACATTCTTGCGTAAATATATCTCACATTTTGCTTTTAATAATATTCATAATAGAATCGGATGTATAGGTATCTCCATATTGCCATATGTACCCTACTCCCATTCTAAATAGTTCGTTTCTTACTCCATTCATCCATTTACTACCATTTTCTAACATTTCTTGATAACATGCATGTAAAACACAATTGTCAGTTTGTTTTAATTTTAACCAGTATTTAAACATTCTAAATTTCCTAATAATTTCCAAAGGCAATCTTCCTAATTCTTGGTAAACCATAAAATTTGCAGTAGATGTCTTAACCCCTAATAATCTTTTACAATAACTTAAATGTATTTTCTCTATATCTGGTGCTTTATGAAAGCCCCAAACTTCCGCTCCATAATTAAAAATACTACAGACATATGTATCGAAAACATGAAACTGAGTTTTAACGTTAAAATATTTTTTCTTCGACACGTTTGATACTGAAAACAATGCTTTTCTTCCTTGTTCAGCGTTTTTTTGTTGAGTTTTTTTTAATTTACCATTAAAATTCATTAATATGCCCAGGTAATTAAATTCATCTATAATATCTAAAACACCTCCATCAAAGTACCACTTATCTTTTTCTCTTAATTTACCTCCGTTACGGAAAACCATCACCTTGGTTTTAGAAGTATTAACCGTAAGATTCCATTTATTTGTATAAAGTAATAAAGTATCTAACATTTTCTGCAATCCGTCAGAGATTTCGGCCAATAACACCATATCGTCTGCATACATCATTAAAAATATATTAATAGTTTGTAGCTCTATAGAAGGACACCCTTCAGTTAAAAAATTCATTTCGCAATCATTGACATACAAAGAGAACAATAGAGAAGACATAATTTTCCCTTGAAATAATCCTTTTTTACAATGAAAAAAATCTGACATGTTTTTGTTATACTTTACACAACATTTTACATCTGTGTACAAAGAACGTATAATATTCAACATCTTTCCTTCTATACCTTCTTTGATAATTTTGTACCACAGATTCTGTCTATTAACGAAGTCAAAAGCTTTTTTGTAATCAATAAAACAGCAATACAGTCTATTTCCATTTTTCAGGGTTTTACTTATTAATGTGTGTAATACAAATATAGCATCAATAGTTGATAAATTCTTCTTCAAACCAAACTGAGCATCACTTAATTTACAATAGTCACTATCGAAATTAGCAAG